CAGCACCTCCACCACCGACACCCCCGGGGCCTCCAGTACCTCCCGCAGGAACACCCCCAGGCTCCGCAGCAACCGGCGGCAGAGAAGAACGAGGGGGAAACTGCGGGACGGACGGGAAGCCAGGGAGTGAGGCAGGGCGAGGCCGCCGACTCGAGGCTGCCGTGTCCTCCACAGGAGTGACCTCCACGCCCACAACCCCTGCACCCCCAGAGCCGACACCACCAGCTCCTGCAGCCCCAGTACCCTCACCCTCCGCAACTGCACCTCCCGCACCCCCAGACACGACAGGGACTGGACGCTGCGGGGGGGACGACTGCGGAGTGACGTGCGACACACCTGACGGGGCAGGACGCGAAGGGGGGGGGGCTACCGGGGCGACTTGTGGGGGCTCAAGGGTGAGGAACAGCGGGGGGGAAAAGGCCTCAGTACCTCGGTGGGGGCGACTCCTGTAGTAACAGACAGACTCGTCGAACGTGACGTCCTGAGAGGCGAAGAACTGGTAGGTGACCGGGTCGTAGAACACCCAGCCGGAGGCGTCCAGAGTGAAGCCAAGAAAGACGCAGGCACGAGTGCGCGGAGACAACTTGTTCGCGCCAGGGGCGCGAACGTGAGCCAGAGAACCCCAGACACGGAAGTCAGCTGCTATGCCCGGAGAACCAGTCCAAAGGGAGACCGGCGTCACCCGTGGCCGTGCGTCACTGGGCCACAGGTTCAGCTGGTGCGCGGCGTAGCGGACTGCCTGGGGCCACAAGAACTGGGGGGCACCGGCATGGCACATGGAGGTCCGGGCAACCTCCATGACCAGGCCAATGCGTCGCTCGGCTACCCCGTTCTGCTGCGGCGGGGCTGGTAGCGTGTAAGACTGGATAATCCCTCGACCCTGACAGAACGTCTCCAGGCGAGTGGAAGAAAACTCACCACCACGGTCCGAGTGTAGGCGAAGCCCACACAGGCCCTGGGCGCCACCCCACGCTAGTAGCCATGGCTCGAGGACGGTAGGCACGTCGGCCTTCCGTCGCAAAGGGAAAACTGTGGTGTAGCGGGAGTAGTCGTCCACCACAATCAGGAAGTAGCGCTCCTGACGTGGTCCAAGGACCGGGGAGGGGCCCCAGACGTCCAAGTGCAGGGTCTGGAAGGGAGCTGTGGTGGGGGGGAACGAGGAGGAGGGAGGGGCAGCGCGCTGCCGGCCCTCGACGCAAGGAGTGCACAGCGGCGCAGGAGAGCGAGGAAGCGGGGCAAGCGACTCTGGGAGACCTGAGACCAGACGGTAACGTGCCATCCTACTGAGACGTGGGAACGACGGGTGACCTAGACGGTGGTGCCAGAGGACAGACGGGTGGGCGAGGGAGCGACAGTCGCACGACACAGCAGCTACCTGACCTGGCCTGACCTGGCCTGACCCAGTGCGGTGGGACCCTATGTGTAGTGAGTACAGACCAGAGCCCGGCTCCCGGTGAAAAGTGGCCAGAGGGGCCCCAGTGGTACCGACTGTGCAGGAGGCAACAAGCTCGTCCAGTGGGAAAGTGGTGACTACACCTAGGTCGTGGAGGTGACTGACACCCACCAGGTTCCTAGAGAACGAGGTCTGGAAACACACGCACGCACCAAGACTGGAAACACAGGTCTCTACTCGTGCAGCCGGGAACGGCCTAGACCAGGCAGGTGGGACTCAACTGTTAAGGCATCGGGCTACGGGTGGGGAAGGTGAGGCGGCGGTTCTGTGCGATTCTGTGCGGTTATGTGCAGTTCTGTGCGGTTCTGTGCGGTTCAACGCGGTGGAGAGTACTGGGTGGGGCGGCTGAATCCGGGTGAGGTGCCTGGAACGGGTGGGGCGGCGGTTGTCAGGTCTGGGGCGGCGGTTTTCAGGTCTGGGGCGGCGGGTTTCCAGGTTCGGCGGCGGATTTCAGGTCTGTAATGGCGGGTTTTCAGGTCTGGGGGCGGTTAAGACGGTGGGCTGCACGTGCGCGCGGCTGCTGCTGCACGTGCGTGCGGTCGCGACGTACTAGCGCGGAGCTGCGGGTGCGACCAAGGCTGCGCGCGCAGCTACGCGCGTTCGTCTGCTGCGCGCTAGAGGGCTGGGGGGCAACGCGCGGGGTAAAACGAGTGGGGCGCGGGGCAGAAAACCGAGTGACGCACGGCAAAAACGGGTGGGGCGCAGGGCAGAAACGGGTGACGCGTGATGGCGACGGGGGGCGCGGCCTACTCGGGCTCTACGGGGCAGGGCGCTTCGGGCTACGGGTCGCTACGAGGCGCGCGGGTGGTGGGCCCATAGACTATCGAGAGAAATTTCGCCTAGGGGAAAAAATCGCCTAGGGGAAAAATCGCCTAGGGGAAACCTAGCTCTATACCATGTTACGATATGAATGAATTGATAGAAAATGTGAAGTACAACCCTAGATATAGCAAACCCTAATCATGCGAGTAAGTAGAAATGTAACACCTAGACTAACCTAAACAACACATATAAAATATATGTTGACATGCCCCGCTGCCCAGCGCGCCAGCGCGCCCCGCTGCCCAGCTCGCCAGCGCGCCCCGCTGCCCAGCGCGCCCCGCTGCCCAGCGTGCCAGCGCGCCCCGCTGCCCACCGCGCCAGCGCGCCCCGCTGCCCACCGCGCTAGCGCGCCCTGCTGCCAGACGCGCCAGCGCGCCCCGCTGCCCAGCGCGCCAGCGCGCCCCGCTGCCCAGCGCGCCAGCGCGCCCCGCTGCCCAGCGCGCCAGCGCGCCCCGCTGCCCAGCGCGCCAGCGCGCCCCGCTTCCCAGCGCGCCAGCGCGCCCCGCTGCCCAGCGCGCCAGCGCGCCCTGCTGCCAAGAGCCCTATGTGACGCCCTTGCCTGCCCGCGCGCCGACCCTGCCTGCACAGTGCCGCCCTACTCTGGCCGCGCGCCGCTCTTCCCTGACCGTGCGCCGCCCCGACCTACCCTAGTGCCTGCTCGCCGCCCTGCCTTCCCTCCGTGCTGCCCTACTGGTCGCGCGCCTCCTTGCTTGCCCGCTATGACTTCTATTCGTAGTAGCGGTGGGAGTGGTGACGGCGGTGGTGGCAGCAGTGGGAGTGGTGGCGGCCGTCGTAGCAGTCGCTGTGGAGCTATTCGGTGGGGAGTTTCTGGCGGTGGCCTGATGCAGCTGCAGCGGCGTCCGCGCGAGACCCTTTCGCCCCAGCAACTACGTGAGTGGTTCGCTAGTAGGAGTGGTGGCGGCGGCAGTAGTGGCAGTGGCTGTGCAGCTGTTCCATTGGGAGTTTCTAGCGGTGGCCTGGTGCAGCTGCAGCGGCGTTCGCGCGAGACCCTTACGCCCCAGCAGCTTCATGAGTGGTTTGCTCAGCGTGGGGCGTCTCGGAATAGTGCTCGCTGCCCGTACGTCATTCGCACAGGTGATCGAGCTGGTCAGACTTGCGGGACAGTTGGTCACACACATTCCCGCTGCTTCTCCTGTTTGAGCGACACCTGGCGTGCAGAGTTTGGCGACGCGGCTGAGCTCCCCCGCTGGCTAGAGCTGCTTAGGCAGGGTGTGGATATCTTTGCTCTAGACTATGACGCTATCCTCACTGCCATGTATGCTTTGACTATTAGTACTCAGGGTGACTGTTACCTGTGTGTGCCGCCCGACCCTGGTATAGAGGCTGCTGCTCTAGGTGCTGGTGAGTCTTCTCTAGGTGCTGGTGAGTCTGCTCTAGGTGCTCGTGAGTCTGCTCTCTCTGGTACTGCGCCTGCTGAGGCCTTGCACACCGTCACGCTTGACTCAGGTGCTTCCTGCTGTTTCTTTCGCGACAGTACCACAGTCACACCACTCTCTGCACCTGTTGCTGTCAGACTGGCTGACCCCTTAGGGGGCCCAGTTCTTGCCCGTTCCTCCACTGTTCTCCCGTGTCCGGCGGTTCCGTCCGGCTCACTCTCAGGTCTTCACCTCCCCTCGTTCTCTACGAACTTGGTGAGCAACGCCGTCCTTCAGGATGAATGGGTTGATACCTTCATCCCTGGCGGACAGCGTGTGTCGATCTGTACGTGCTCCCGGACTGGCCGTCACCTGGCCACGTTCACCCGTCGACGTGGGTCGAGTCTGTATACACTGACTACTGAGCCTCCCCAGGTAGCTGCGTTTGCGTCTGCGTCAGGTCAGCTAGCGGCCCCCTGCTCGTGTCGTGCCCTGTCGCACCAGACGCTCCTTTGGCACCACCGCCTTGGTCACCCCTCCGTGCTACGCCTCCGTGGCGTGCACTTCCGTCTAGTTGTCTCTGGTCTTCCCAGGTCTTTGCCTCCCCTCCCACCCTCGCCTGCCCCTCCCTGCCTTCCCTGTGTCGAGGGGCGGCAGCGCGCCGCTCCTCACTCCTCCTCGTTTCCCCCGACGACTGCTCCCCTGCAGACTCTCCACATGGACGTGTGGGGCCCAACCCGCGTCCGTAGACAGGGCCGCGAGCGCTACTTTCTGCTGGTTGTTGACGACTACTCGCGTTACACCACAATCTTCCCCTTGCGCAGCAAGGGGGAGGTCCCTGATGTTTTGATCCCTTGGATCCGCGCTGTCCGTCTCCAGCTCCGCGAGCGGTTCGACACGGACCTTCCAGTCCTGCGTCAGCACTCTGACAGAGGTGGTGAATTTTCCTCCGACCTCTTGCGGGACTTTTGTCGTGGGGAGGGCATTCTCCAGTCGTTCATGCTTCCGGCCTCTCCGCAGCAGAATGGGGTTGCTGAGCGCCGCATTGGCTTAGTCATGGAGGTCGCTCGTACCTCCATGATCCATGCGGCTGCCCCCCATTTTTTGTGGCCGTTTACGGTCCGGTACGCTGCGCATCAGCTCAACCTCTGGACCCGTGTCTCCTTGCCGGAGACCTCGCCTACACTGCGTTGGACGGAGAAGGTTGTGTCAGAATGCTAACGTAACTCGTAGCTAGGGTTTAGCTAGCATTCTGACATGGTATTGAGCTTGTAACATCCTGACCTAAGTTAATGGGCCCACCAGTTGACGCACTCGTCATGGCGCCCGTCACGTCCTTAGTTGCGACCTTAGTGACGGGCGCCACGGCAAGAACGTTCGCGGCCATCCCGTCGCGTCGCGGCGCTCATCATGACGGCCGCGGCGGGCGCTATGGCGAATGCAAGCGGACCCGCCAGCAACCCGCGGCGAAATCGCCAGCGGCCCGCCAGCGAAATCGCCAGCGCGTTCGCCCACACGTCTGCGACCCCGCCGTCGGACCCGCCGACGAGCACGCCAGCCGGCTCGCCAACCGACGCGCCCGCCAGCTCGCCCACCGACGTGCCCGACAGCTCGCCCACCGACGCGCCCGCCAGCTCGCCCATCGACGCGCCCGCCAGCTCATCGACGCCAACCGACGCGCCAGCTGGACACGCCAGCAGCGGTCGCCTGCACTGGAGCCTGCGCACCCAGTCCGCGCAACCCACCCGCTCGCCCGCCCCCTGCCCGTCTCCCCCCCCCCCCCCCGTCGCGACTGTTTGCAGGTGCAGCGGCGGTCGCTTTGGGGGGGAGAGGGAGGAGGGGAAGGGAGTGGCGCGGAGCACTGTGGGGGGGAGGCAAAAAGGGGGAAAGGGGTGACGGCAGGACGTCCGCCAGCATCAGCACCAGCACCGACACCAGGCACCAGCACCAGCGCCAGCCGCCAGCAGCGACACTGCCAGCAGAGACCCCCGCCAGAAGAGACCCCGCCAGCAGAGACCCCGCCAGCAGAGACCCCGCCAGCAGAGACCCCACCAGCAGAGACCCCGCCAGCAGAGACCCCGCCAGCAGAGACCCCGCCAGCAGAGACCCGCGCCAGCAGAGACCCCGCCAGCAGCTACACCGCCAACAGAGACCCCGCCAGCAGCTACACCGCCAGCAGAGACCCCACTGCAGGGACTACCGTGGGTGGGGCAGGGGTGTGGAGGAAGGAAGGTGGGGGGGGGTGCGGTCCAAGGGGGCGGCTGTTATGGGGGGTGAGGTTAAGGGGGGGTGGTTGAATGGGTGTGGGGATTTGGGGGTTACTAAGAGGGGTTTCGCCATGCTTGGCTCCCCCCCACCTCCTCTCCTCGTCACTCTCTCACCTCCCCCCTTTGCAAAAGGGGGTTACTAAGAGGGGTTTCGCCACGGGTGGCTCCCCCTCAACTCCTCGCCTCATCCCTCTCTCACCTCCTCCTTGGTACTTCTCCCATCTCCTCTCCTCTCTCCCTCTCGCCTCCTCCTCCTCATTTAACTCTCTCCCGTCATCCACTGCGCCAAGTGTACCCCTTCAGGGGGTGTTGGCTAAGGGGGTGTGTTAAAGTTATATTTAATATATCCTGCTTGCTGTAGTTACTGTAGTGTAGTTATCTGATTGTTTGCTCGGTGGTGCACCCGTTTGTTCTTTGCTATATGTTCCGTAAACCTATAGTGAAGCTCAACCATTCTCACTTTCCCTTGGCCACAATTCTCTCGATACTCCTTGGCCCAGGCTACTAAGCCTAGGCCTAGCTAAACCCTAGCTACGAGTTACGTTAGCATTCTGACAGGTTGGCGATGCGTCGGTGTTCCGGGTCTGGGGCTCTCGTGCCTTTGTCCGCGATACGTCCGCGGACAAGCTCTCGTCCCGCGCCATTCACTGCGTCTTCCTTGGCTTCCCCCCTGACGCACCTGGCTGGCAGTTTTACCACCCCACCTCGCGCCGTGTCCTGCCCTCTCAGGGCGTCATGTTTGACGAGTCGGTTCCCTTTTACTGCCTCTTCCCCTACTGCACTGCCCCTCTCCCCCCCCCGCCGCTCTTCCTCGCACCAGGTCCTTTTCCGGTAGACCCCCTCCCCCCTCAGGGTCCTGCTCCCTCAGGTGTGTCTCAGGTAGACCCTGTCGAGCCTGTCGAGGTAGCTGTCGACTCTGGTGCTGCTGGGGGTAGTGCTGCTAGGGGTGTTGCGTCTGGGGGTGCTGAGCCTGAGCGTGCGGAGCTAGGGGGTGCTGAGCCTGAGTGTGCGGAGCCTGGGGTTGTTGAGCCTGGGGTTGCTGAGTCTGAGGGTGCGGAGCCTGGGGGTGCTGAGCCAGAGCGTGCGGAGCTTGGGGGTGCTGAGCTTGGGGGTGCTGAGCCTGAGCGTGCTGCGCCTGAAGGTACTTTGTCCACTGGAGGTTCTGCGGGTGCCTCGTCACGGCGGGAGACTCTCTCTCCACTGCAGCTGCGCGAGTGGTTTGCTCGGCGTTGGAGCCTTCGGAGTGACGTTGCCAGAGCTGGGGGGCCTGCCGCTGGAGACCCTGGAGCTGGAGGTACCGGAGGTGCTGGATCTGCTAGTCCAGGAGGTGCTGGAGGTACTGGAGGTTCTCCGGGTGCCTCGTCCGGGCGGGAGCCTCTCTCTCCACCGCAGCTGCGCGAGTAGTTTGCTCGGCGCTGGAGTCTTCAGCGTAGCGCTGCTAGAGCTGGGGGGCCTGCCGCTGGAGGCCCTGGAGCTGAAGGTCCTAGAGCTGCTGGTCCTGGAGGTGCTGGAGGTGCTGGAGCCGCTGGTCCCGGAGGTGCTCGTACTGGAGGTACTGGATCTGCTGGAGCTGGTGGTGCTGCAGGTGCTGGTGCTGCTGGAGGCGCTAGAGCTGGAGCTGCTGGAGGTACTGGAGCCGCTGGTCCCGGAGGTGCTCGTACTGGAGGTACTGGAGCTGCTGGAGCTGGTGGTGCTGCAGGTGCTGGTGCTGCTGGAGGCGCTGGAGCTGGAGCTGCTGGAGGTACTGGAGCCGTTGGTCCCGGAGGTGCTCGTACTGGAGGTACTGGAGGTGCTGGAGTTGGTGGTGCTGCAGGTGCTGGAGCTGCTGTAGGCGCTGGAGCTGGAGCTGCTGGAGGTGCTGGAGCCGCTGGTCCCGGAGGTGCTCATACTGGAGGTACTGGAGCTGCTGGAGCTGGAGGTGCTGCAGGCGTTGGAGCTGGAGGAGCTGGAGCTGGAGCTGCTGGAGGTACTCGAGCTGCTGGAGCTGGAGGTGCTGCAGGCGTTGGAGCTGGAGGCACTGGAGCTGGAGCTGGTGGTGCTGCTGGAGTTGGAGCTGGAGACCCTGGAGCTGGAGGTGCTGGCCCTGGGGGTGCTAGTGCTGTCGGTGCTGGTTCTGGAGGCGCTGTGCGGCCGCGACCGTACTTCGTTCTGCTGCTTCAGCAGGTTCTTGGTCTTCTACTGGCCTTACTCCTCCCTTACTGTGTCCACCGCCCGACCAGTCGCAGTCGCAGTTACAGCCAGCATCCCCACTACCTGCTCCTTCTCCTTACACTGAACAGACAGGAGGTCTTACAGAGCGTCGTGAGCCTGCGTCTCGTCCTGCCTTGCCTGTTCGAGCTGTTCGCACTAGTCGTCGTGTCCCGCATCAGCGTCCTTCTCCTGTCCCCGGCACGCACCAGATGGCACCTCGTCCTTCCTCTGTTCCACTGCGTGTCCCTCTGCCGTCTCCTCCTGCGTCCTCTCTTCCTGACGTCCCTGAGCCGCCGTCAGACCTTGCTCGTGCTGCCAGTCCTATTGTCACACGTCTTCTAGCTACTGCTGTCACTGACCCTTCGTTTGAGTCCACTGCTGCGTCTGCCCTAGTTACTGAGCTTGTTGACTTTGCTGCTGCCTGTCGCCTCGACTACGCCGATAGTCTTGTTACTGAGTCTGGGTCTGTCTGTCCTCCGTCCGTCGGGGGTGAGTGTGCTCTTGGCACGGACGTCCTTGAGGACAGGCAGGAGGACTTTGAGTGTTTTGCAGCTGCTGTACCTCATCTCGTGTCCATGCTGATTGCACCTGAGGGAGACTCGGATGCACCAGACATCCCGACCCCGCGCTCTTACGCAGAGGCGATAGAGGGTCCCTACTCCTCTCAGTGGCACACAGCCATGGACGCAGAGATGGCATCCTGGAAGTCCACAGGCACTTACGTCGACGAGATTCCCCCACCTGGGGCGAACATCGTCAATGGCATGTGGATTTTCAGGGTGAAGCGGCCGCCGGGTTCTCCGCATGTCTTCAAGGAGCGTCACGTTGCACGAGGCTTCAGTCAGCAACAGGGAGTTGACTTCTTCCAGATCTTCTCCCCTACCCCGAAGATGACCACTCTTCGGGTGCTGCTGCACGTTGCCGCTTAGCGTGACTACGAGCTTCACTCTCTTGACTTCATCACAGCTTTCTTATAGGGCAACCTGCACGAGGAGATCTGGCTGCGTCGCCCACCTGGCTTCACTGGGTCATTTCCTGCAGGTACCCAGTGGAGCCTCCGGCGGCCAGTCTACGGTCTCCGCCAGGCGCCTCGCGAGTGGCACGACACACTGAGGACGACTCTTGCGGCTCTTGGGTTTGCTCCTTCGACTGCTGACCCGTCGCTGTTTCTACGCACCGACACTTCGCTGCTGCCGTTCTACATCCTCATGTACGTCGACGACTTGGTCTTCGCCACTGCTGACACTGAGGGACTGGTCCTAGTGAAGTCGGAGCTGCAGAAGAGACACACGTGCACAGACCTGGGTGAGCTGCGCAGCTATCTTGGCTTGCAGATCACCCGGGACAGAGCACGGCACACCATTACCTTGGCTCAGTCACACATGGTACAGCAGGTCCTTCAGCGCTTCGACTTCCAGTACTCCTCGCCACAGTCCACTCCTCTGCCTACCGGTCACTCGCTCTCAGCTCCACCTTCGGACGAGTCCGTAGAGCCGAGTGGCCCGTATCCAGAGCTTGTGGGCTGCCTCATGTACCTGATGACCTGCACTCGACCTGACCTTGCTTACCCTCTTAGCATCCTGGCACACTACGTTGCGCCCGGGAGACAATTACCAGAGCACTGGAAGGCCGCTAAGAGGGTGATGCGCTACTTGTGCAGTACGTCGGGCATGGGGCTCGTGCTTGGAGGACGGGGTCCAGTTGTCCTCACTGGACACGCAAACGCCTCTTGGGTTGACGACTTAGCTACGCAGCGGTCGTCACAGGGTTACAATTTCAGCCTTGGCTCCGGCTCTGTTTCTTGGCGGTCTACCCGCTCGTCTTCTGTTCTCAGCTCCAGTTGTGAGGCTGAGATATATGCAGGGGCCATGCCTGCATAGGAGTTACGCTGGCTCACCTACCTGCTGACAGACTTGGGAGAGCCGCCTCGTTCTCCTCTAGTTCTGTACGTCGACAACAAGGCCATGATTTCCTTGTGTCAGGAGCACAGACTGAAGCACAGGACGAAGCACATCGCTCTGCGCTACTTCCTTGCTCGTGAGTTGCAGCAGCGTGGTCAGCTTCGTCTTGTTTACGTGGCCTCTCGGGCCAACACTGCTGATATCTAGGCACTTCACCAAGGCACTTCAGCCTTGTGATTATCAGCGTTTCTGTACTGTTCTATGCCTTGTGCCTACTTGGCCACACTTGCTCAATTCTTGACTTTGCTTGTACTGTGATCTATATACTTGTACCTCCTTCACCCCATGAAACAGCGCCATGTATTCGCTCTCCGTTGATGAGTGAGCTATCTCTCCTTGCTTCTTAGACTTCCTGCTCACCGGAATCCCTCCAACACAGCATATATAGCCACCATGGGATGTAGCATCGCTGATGTCACTTGCCCAGGTAGCATCGGTGAAGCACGAGAGGCACAAGTGCCCACGCCTTGCAGGTGCACCGGTCTTCGTGCTCGCCTCCTCCACTCCCTTCTGCTTCATCTGCCCATGCACTGAATATTGCAGCCCCACCCTTGAGGTTGCCATGCATTACCTCACCAGCCTCTCTGCTGCATCCAGGTGCTCTTGAAGGGGCCTAGACACCACACAAGCCAGCTGCAAAACTGAAAACGCAATGTCGGGGCGAGTGTTGACCGAAGCGTACATCAACCTCCCCACCATTGACTGGAACCGACGCT